GCCCACTGCGTTGGGCCCCCCAGCAGCCCTCGAAAGTGGCGACATTTTCACAGATCGCAGCCCCCCAGGGATGGCGAGGTCCCATTTGAATCTGCCGTGGGTACCCACTGCGCTGGGCCCCCCAGCAGCCTTCGAAAGCGGCGACAGTTTCACAGATCGCAGCCCCCCAGGGATGGCGAGGTCCCATTTGAATCCGCCGTCGGTACCCACTGTGCTGGGCCCCCCAGCAGGCCTCGAAAGGGGCGACAGCTTCACAGATCGGAGCCCCCCAGGGATGGCGAGGTCCCATTTGAATCCGCCGTGGGTACCCACTGCGCTGGGCCCCCCAGCAGCCCTCGAATGTGGCGACAGTTTCACAGATCGCAGCCCCCTTGAATCCGCCGTGGGTACCCACTGTGCTGGGCCCCCCAGCAGCCCTCGAAAGTGGCGACAGTTTCACAGATCGCAGCCCCCCAGGGATGGCGAGGTCCCATTTGAATCCGCCGCGGGTGCACACTGTGCTGGGCCCCCCAGCAGCCTCGAAAGTGGCGACAGTTTCACAGATCGCAGCCCCCCAGGGATGGCGAGGTCCCATTTGAATCCGCCGCGGGTGCACACTGTGCTGGGCCCCCCAGCAGGCCTCGAAAGTGGCGACAGTTTCACAGATCGCAGCCCCCCAGGGATGGCGAGGTCCCATTTGAATCCGCCGCGGGTGCCCACTGCGCTGGGCCCCCCAGCAGCCCTCGAAAGTGGCGACAGTTTCACAGATCGCAGCCCCCCAGGGATGGCGAGGTCCCATTTGAATCCGCCGCGGGTGCCCACTGCGCTGGGCCCCCCAGCAGCCCTCGAAAGTGGCGACAGTTTCACAGATCGCAGCCCCCAGCAGCCCTCGAAACGCAGCGACGAGCCAGGTAAAAGGCAGGGGGGAAGAGAGGGACGGGAGGGGGTGGGAAGGCGCGAGCAGTGCTTTATTCAAAACGAGAACCCAACGCAGGAGGGTTGGGAAATAGCGAACACCCCCCCCAATGTTCAAAGTTGGCGGTGGGTTTGATGGGTTGCACCTCGACCGCAGTCTCCCCCGCGCGTGCCAACTTTGAGTTTGGGGAGGGGGAGCGCGTCGGAGCGGCCACGGCGCCCGACACATCCTCCAGAACCGCCAGATTTAAGTTGGGCCTGTCCCTCTACAGGAGGAAAAGTCAAAAATTGAAAAAAATAGTTTGGGGACGATGTTTGGACGTTTTGGAACATTTTTTATTATTTCTTTCTCCCAAAATCCGCCTGTAGGGGGACATGCCCGACCTAACGCCAGATCTCAGAGATCCCCGATATCAAGAAGGTAGTCATCGGGTTGGGAGGAGGGGGCTGGGAGAAGTGAGGACACGACTACCGGTAGGCGGCCGAAGGTTTCGCGCATGGCATCCGAGTGGTCTTCCTCATGCCCTTCATCCTCCCAACCCCTTCCTCCCAGCACGATAGTTCATCTCCTCTAGATGTGTCCCCAGACATGCGACGTCCTGTTTTTTTCAGAACGGGGTCCCTGGAAGTCCCGACCTTCTCCCCGGGACCGGTTTTTCGTCCTGAGTCGTTGTTTGACGCTCCCGAGGCCCAGTGAGGGCCCCCCAAGGCCGAAAACTGGCAAAAACCTCCCGTCCTGATTTTTTTACGGCGCGATCATGTCTGGGTCCCAGTCCACTTAAGCCCCGGTCGCGGCTTCGCCTGAGGCCAAGCTGGGGTCCGCCGAGGTGCCCAGCCTAGGCTCCGTCCTCCACGGCACCAGTCTGTGCAAGCCGTGCGCGTTCGCCGCGCAGAGCGGGCCCAGCTCGTGCAAGAACGGGCAGCAGTGCCAGTTCTGTCACCTGTGTGACTCCGGCGAGAGGACGCCACCGCTCTGCGCGCCAGGGAGGGGGGTCCAGCGCAGATCCAAGAAATCCGCGCGGAGCGCCAAAAGTTTATGTTTATGGCGTTCTTCTTCTTCTTATTATTATTATTATTATTCTTCTTATTCTTCTTATTATTATTCTTCTTCTTCTTCTTCTTCTTCTTCTTCTTCTTCTTCTTCTTCTTCTTCTTCTTCTTCTTAATATTATTATTATCCTTATTCTTATTCTTCTTCTTCTTCGAAACATGGCTTCTCCGCGTTTCACTCTGACGCCGGGTCGATTGTCGGTTGGTTGCATACTCACGTGTTCTTCGCTGCCCTCTCGGCAGCAAAGAAAGGAAAAAGAGGCAAAAGAGGATACCACCGCTTGCCGCCCGCCCATCCCCGGGCTTGCCAGTCCCTGGCAGGCAGTTCTGGACTTGGGGGGCGGGGCACCAGTTCACTTCCCTTGACATCCTCCCGTCGTGAAGAAGATCGCGACGGACGGTTCGGACAAGGTTCGGTTTCCAGGGGCCCTCACCAGGCCCCCAGGGCCGTCATAAAACTACTCAAGATGAAAAGCCTGTCACCGGAAAGAGGTCCAGGCACTCGGGGAGCCACGTTGCGAGAGAATCGTGACGTCGGATGTCGGGGCTCCGAGGCGTCGGATGTCTGAGCCTCTTCAACCCTGGCGTTCTCTCACAAGTTCGGCCTCTGGAGGCCGCTTGCGGCCCCGGTGCCATCGAAAACGGATCCCTTGACGAAAAATCGGCCGAGGGGCGGAGGTCGAGACCTCCCCAGACCCCCACCGTGATGATTTTGGAAAACATGGACCCCCAGAGGTCTGGACCCCTTCCTGGGGACCGGCTTTTCATCCTGACTCGTTTTTTCTCGGTCCAGAGGCCCAGTAAGGGCCCAGGAGGCCACAAATGACATATAGTGAACCGCCATGATCCTTTCACGGCACGAGGGGGTCAAGGCTTGGAGCCCGCGGATTGAAAATAACAAAGATACACACACACACACACACACACACACACACACACACACACGCACACGCACACGCACACGCACACACGCACCAAGTACAAAAAGGACGTTCTGCCGCTCCCGGGTGCCTCGCGGCCAGCGCGCTCCCAGCCAGGCCGAGGCCTCGTATGCCTCGATCTGGACCTGGGGCCAGACCTGCGACCACCAGCCACGCGCAGAGGGGGGTGGGGGGGAGGGGGGAGGACTTCTTAGAAGCACCCCTGCTTCGTAGAAGGCGCGGGCCTTCTCTACAGATGTGAGGCCGGCGCCTTCTCAGAAGCAGCTTCCTTCTAAGAAGCCCTTCCCCCTCCCTCCACCCCCTTTGCGCGCCGCCAACACCACCAGCGGAGTTCCCCCGATCGCCGGTCAAGGATTTGCCTGAAGTCGGGCGTGTCCCTCTGCAGGAGGAATATTCAAAAATAGCTTAGTTTTTTCCCCAAAAAAATGTCTGGGGACGATTCTTCGACAATTGTTCACCAATGTTTGGGTATTTTTTGACTATTTTTCATTTTTCCTAAATCCGCCTGTAATGGGACATGCCCGGCCTAAGACTGGCCAAGCTCCAGGAATCCTCGGTCAGGAGCTGGCCCCAGGCCATGTAGGCTCGTGATTCACACATGATGTCCCCCCCGCTCCCCATGGCTGAGAAGTACAGCCCGAGGGGCGCGAGGCCGTGCCTTCGTCGCGCGAGCCAGGGCTCAGGGTGCCACCGCGCCGCGGACGTGGACCAACGGCATGAACGACGCGCCGCCTCCGAGGGGGGGCACGCCCGCACAGTGCAGCGTGGTGCAGGTGTTGAGCGTTGCGCATGTGAAAATGTGCGCTGTCCCACGAGCAAGCGACCTCGTTCGCTCGCGGGCCCTGCAGTGCGCGCTGCCCGCTCCGTTGGGTTTCTGAGCGCGTGCGCCGCTCGAGGTTTGAGGTCTCGTTGGCTTCGTCCCTCCGCTAGATATGGGGCCCGGCTTCGTGCGCTCGTCGGGCCTGCGTTTTTTTGGTTGGTCGCCGCCGTCGCGACTTTTCCCCTGGCGCGTGGCTGATGCTAGACGCTTGGTTAACCTATCCATCCTAGGAACTCACGTTGAAAAATGCATCCCCCGCCCTCATCTCCAGCAGGGCGCGGCGGAGAAGGAGGAGGCAGAGGAGGAGGAGGAGGAGGAGGAGGAGGAGGAGGAGGAGGCGGAGGAGGCAGAGGAGGAGGAGGGGGAGGAGTACGAGGGAGACCAGTACAAACCCAAGACGCACCAACGATGGTGCAATAAACCTATCCTCCAAAATCCCTTTTTCATGGGTCATTTCATTCATCCCGCGCCCATGTCGGACGGGCCAAGTCCCGCCTCCGCGCCTGGCGGGGCCATTCTTTTCGGATTCGCTCCCTGGCAGCACTGCAGGGCGACCCCGCCAGAAGAGAGCAGGGAAACGACTGCGGCGGCGGGGCAAGCGGCGGCAGTGGCGGCGACGGCCTCGGCCTCCGCCGCCCCGCCTTCCCGCCTCTTCCCCCTCCCCCCCCCAGTCCGTCGGCATTTGGCCCGACCGCCCCGCTGCAGCGGAGGTGCTGCTGCGCCTGTCGCATTTCTGCCAGCGGCCGGGTGACGGCGCTGATCACCGGCGCCGCCGCGTTGTGTCTGTATCTGGCGGGCAACCCCCCCCCGCGATTCACCCGAGCGGGGAAACCATGCTCTAAATCACGCGCCCACCACAAGCTGCAATGTGGATCCAGGGGCCTGTTGCACACGCTCCCGGGCAGGCAGGCCCCAGGCCAGAATCGTCCCCTGGCGGGGTCCCTCCCCAGGAGGGGCCCCTTCCGGCGGGGCCCCTTCAAACAGAAATCCCCCCTCCGCGGTCCATTCCCTTGTGGGCCCCACCCCCCGCGGAACCCCTCCCCAGCGGGGTGGCCGCATGCCCAAACCCCTCGCAGGCCTCACAGTCGCCGACGAGATTGTCCGACCCGCGGCCCCAAAGGTCCCGAGCCCCTCCCTGAGGGTAGTTTTTCGTCGTGGATCCATGTTGTGGTGGTCCCCGGGCCAGCAAATGGGAGGCCGAAGTCGAGGAGAAACGCATGGATTGCTAATCCTGTCGTCGGAGATGTGCGGGGTCCCTGTCCCTGCGGGGCCCCTCGAGCGAGCCCTGGCGGCAGGAAGCGGCGCCGAAGGACGTGGCAGAAGAGCAAGCGCGAGGAGAAGGACATCAGGGGCAACGTCAGGCGGGGGGATTACGGTGGGGGCATTGGTTAAGGAATGTGCCCTGCAGGCTTCAGACCCTGGAGGATTCCTTAGCTTATGAGGGCGGTGGCGATACCCCTGGCCGATACACCATTGGAGTTCCACTGGCTTCCAGACCCCAGATTCCTTATTCCAAGGCTTCCTTATTCAACGCCTCCACCGTAGGGTCAGAGGGGCACGCATGGACCCCCAATCGCCCAGTGATCGCCTCCATGGGGCCTGGCAGCCCACTCCGCACAGGACCGCACCGCGTCGCAGTCGAGAGCTCATCGCCGATCCTGTCGGCGACGTATCGCCGATTCCAGGTCGATTTAAGTCGGGCGTGTCCCTCTACATGAGGAATATCCACAAATATTTAGACAAATAGTCTGGGGACTATTGTTCGACCACGTTTGACTATTCTTCCCGCTTCGCGTGTCCCCACCAGCCCATTCAGAAACCCTGCCCTTCAGAGCCGACGGGAAAAGTGACGAAGAGACCCATCTAGGGAAACAGAGCGAGCAAAGGGGTGGCCTTGGAAGGCCTCTTCGGGCCATCCCTGGATGGCGCGTGGGGGCGGACGAGGGCTCACGGAACCATCCAGAGGTGTTTTTGCTGCTGGTGCTGCTGCTGCTGCTGCTGCTGCTGCTGCTGCTGCTCTCTGGGAGTTTAGGGGGGCCCTCTTGGAACCATCTTTGGTAACCCTCGAAGGCTTCTCGGGATCATCTTGGAGGCCATCGATTACAGGATGGGGGGTCCCCAACTCAGCCCCCCCCATCCAGAGCCGGCAAACCGCTTCTGGGGGCTCTCTTGGAGCGCTCTTGGGCTTTCTTGGAGCTGTCTTGGGGCCGTTTGGAGCATCTTGGGAGCCATCTTGAGCCAGCTTGGGCTATCTGAGCCATCTTGGAGGTCATCTTGGGCTCTCTGAGGCCGCTCGGGGGCCTCTTGGGAGCCTCTCGGGTGCCTCTTGGGGCCCTCTTAGGACCCTCTTGGAGACCTCTTGGGGCTCTCTTGGGAGTTCTGGAGCGCCTCTTGGGCCATCTTCGAGGCTATCGATCAAAGGAGGGAGGGACCCGATCGAGGCCCCCCCTCCGGGGCCACGATCCTCGTAAGGGGTGTCAAAAAATGGCCCTCCCAGGGGCCGATCTTGGACGCTCTAACCCCTCGCGGCCCCTCCCGTCCAGGTCCAGGGGAGGGGATAGGGGGAGGGGTCAAGACACCCTCACCGCACGCAAGCCGTCTAGCTCACTCCCACCCGCCGTCCCACCACACAGGTGGCATCCGAGTCTCGGCATAGCCAGGGGTCGCCACTGGATGGACAGCCACTGGGAATCAGAGCGGACGCCAGGTGCGCGACGCTCGCCGCGGGCTTGCCATCCTTGTAAAAAACGTGACGCCCCCCCCCCCGTCCGCATGGTCCAGCTGCTGATGTGGGGGGGGGCATCAGCATTGTTCTGGGCCTGCGCACAGCAAGCATCATCATGCGGGCACCACCGCTGTCCTTGTCAAAAACAATACAAAGTGATCGCGGGTGGCCAGCACAATACCCACGACGTTGGCGCAACTTGCAATTTGGATTGTTTTTGACACGGAGGGTGGTCCTGCACAAAGCGGTTTCACTAAGGATGCCCGGCCATCCTTGTCAAAAAATCATACAACGTGCTCACAGGGCGCCAGCGCACTGTCCAGATTTTGCTGCAATGTGCACTTCGTATTTTTTTGACAGGGATTGTGGAGGGTATTGGCTGGGTGGGCCCCGCAATCTGCATTTCTTCTGTTTTTTGACAGGGATGGTGGGGGGGGGCCCTCATGGTGTGCACATGGTTCTGGGTTGGCTGCCGGCCGGGTGGGGGAGGGGGTGTTTACTAAGAGGGAACAGTGAGAAGCCCTTCCCCACTCCTCCCCTCCCCGTCCTCCTCCTGTCGCTGCCCTTCAGGAGAGGCTGGTGGCGGCCGCCTCCGTGGCCGGCGGCGGCACCCCGACGCCCATGCGGTCCGTCCGCACGGCCCCTGGCCACCTGGCGAGCATGGGCAACGACGCGGCCGAGGACCTCCACCGGGCTCGGGTCGGACGAGACCAGACGTGTTCGCGTCGTAAAGAGATCAGGTGTTCTGCCAGTTTTCGGCCTCTGGAGAGGCCCTCGCGGGGCCCCGGGGCCGCGAGAAAGCGACGCAGGGTGACAAACCAGCCCTGGGGAAAGGGTCGGGACATCTGGGGACGCCGTATTTCAAGGGAGGAAAAACCACAGAGACTGGACAATTGGCGTTCACTGAACGGCCTCGGGCGTTTACTAAGCAGCCTTGCCCGGTTCGATTCCTTCTTCGGGCGCGTTTACTAGAGGCCTCGCGTGTCGGGGTGGCCACTATCGGGGTGGATTTTCTGACCTCTAGTATTCAAAAAATCAGGGCGTCGCATGTCTGGCGACGAGAGGTGCCCTGAGATCCGGGCGCTGCACTGTTGTCACGCTGCGCGTGTTCGCTAGGCCTCGGCCCCCCTGGGGCCCTCACGGGCCGATACGGCTCGAGCTCCGGCCGTTCTTCACCCGAGCATTTTCTCTGGGTGGGGGGCAAAGGGTGAAATTTGAAGTGCCATTTCGATGGACTTTCGAGGCTTGAGTCTGCAGAAGGCGACTCACAGGACGGTTTGATCTTCGAGGTGCGCAAGCCCATGTGGATTCCACCCTGAGCCCTCCACCCTAAGAACATGCTCCGTTCACGGCGTTTCAATTGTTTCGCCACGTCGGATCTCTGGCAGAAGGGGCGTTTCGGAATCTGCTGTGTGCAGCCAGTTCCAGCCCCGCCGCTGGGCGCCATCCTCGGTACATGATGGCGGCGGAGGCGCCGGGGAAATCGGCTGCGTGCGCTGATTCGCTACCCCCCCTGCTATCGACCTTGGAGCGAGAGGGGCTGAGATGGCCCACCACCGTTTCCAGCCAGCTGAACGGAGCAGGAAGGGGGCCCATCGTGCGTGGATCTCCTCACCCTTCCGGGCAGCCTTGTCTGGACGGCCAAGTATTGTATGCAGGGTTCGCCCCCTCCCCCATCTTGTTGACCGACTTTCTGAGATCCGACGTTGCGAAAAAATCGCCTGGCGAAGGACCCAACCGTTCGCAGTTGTGAATACCGTCGTTGATAGTATCGCCTTCGGTGAATTTCTTTATGGGACTACGAAGCGCGTGAAAAGTGTGCCGACATGGGGCAGGGCGGAGCTCCCTATGGGGCCACGAAACGTGTGAGGGGTATGTCAAAATGGAGCGGCGCCGCCATGCGGACTGCCCCACTGGGGCCTTAGGTGGAGCTCCTCTGGGGCCGCGAGAAGTGTGAGGGGTATGCCAAAATGGAGCGGCGCCGCCATGCGGATTGCGCCATTGGGACCTTGGGTTGAGTTCCCTATGGGGCCACGAAACGTGTGAGCGGTGTGCCCAAATGGGGCGGCGCCGCCATCCGGACCGCGCCAGTGGGACCTTAGGTGGAGCTCCCCATGGGGCCACGAAACGTGTGAGGGGTGTGCCCAAATGGGGCGGCGCCGCCATGCGGATTGCGTCACTGGGACGTTTGGTGGAGCTCCTTTTGGGGCCACGAAACGTGTGAGGGGTGTGCCAAAGTGAAGGGGTGACGAGTGGAGGGGGGAGGAGCAGGAGCAGGAGCAGGAGCAGGAGCAGGAGCAGGAGAGGAGAGGAGCAGGAGAGGAGAGGAGAGGAGAGGAGAGGAGCAGGAGAGGAGAGGAGAGGAGAGGAGAGGAGAGGAGAGGAGAGGAGAGGAGAGGAACGCGCGGACCGTCTTTTCAAAACGAGGACCCATCACCACAGGATGGTTGGAAACAACATATGGCGAAAAAACAAGACCGGGGCCCTAGATCCAATCTTTCGTCCGCATTTGCGCAAGCCAGATCGACATGTGATGGCCCCAGGGCCCGAAATATAGCAAAATCGATCGCCCGTTGAACAGCGACTTCTTGCAATCTCTGCGGTGCTATCTAGGTGGTGCCATCAACGTGGTACAAGCTAGGAGGTGCAACCCAGGTGGTGCAAACAACGATGTGCAAAACCATGCAATGAAATGCAATGCGATGCAAAGCCATGTAAAGTAATGCAAACAAATATTATGCGATGCGAAGCAATGCAAAGCTTGCGATGCGAACTGGAGCAATGCAAAGCAATGCAACGCCATGCGAAGCAATGCGAAGCTTGCGATGCGAACGCGGGGGGTAGGTGCACCGGGGGGGCGGGTGCAACGAGGCCGCGGCGACGGACGGGAACGAGGCCGCCGGGCGGGCCAGCAGACGGGCCTGGCTCCACAGAAGGGAGCCGAGAACCCTTAAGCGCAGGCATTGTTTGGGAGGGGGGGGTCAGGACCACGCCCAGATCTCAGGGTCCCCTCTGTTGTCCTCCCTCCTCAGGGGCGGCCCAACCGTCCCCTGGCAAACCATCCCCTTCCATGACGTCCCCCTCGCCTCGCCCCAAGGAGCATGTGTGCGGCCAGAGGGGAACTCGAAAGGCGAGGACGTCGTCACGGAAGGGGATGGTTTGCTTGGGGTCGGTTAGGCCGCGCTCGATCGGGCTGAGGCCATCTTGACCGCTCTTGGTGCCCTTTTTGGGCCGTCTTCTGCTCATCTTGGGTCCTCTCAGGCGGCTTCCTGGGCTGTCGGGGGGCCCTCTTGGGCCGTCTTGAGGACTCTTGCGCTCTCTTCGGGGAACCAAACCATGACAGAAACATAACGCCTCGGAGGTCCGCGCGGATCTCTCGGATCGGCGCTGGAGCGCGCTCCGCGCGCGCCAAGGATGGGGGGGTCCAACGCCGATCCGAGAAATCCGCGCGGACCTCCGAGGTATTATGGTTCTGCCACTGCTTGTCTCCTTACTCTCGGAGCCAGATCTCAGGGCCCCCTCTGCTGTTCAGGAGGGAGAGAAGCACACGGACACAAGGAGCCGTCGATTCCCAGGAAAACATGTGGGAGAATGTGGGAAGTGGGGGGGGGAGACGAGAACCCAGAGAACGTGGGAAAACGTGGGGCCTCCTGTGACTCGCGTCTATATGCCTGTGTGCCCCTGGGCTCCTTTCGCTGCCCTCGCCCCTCCCGCCCTTGGCCGACCGAGGCGCCCGCGGCCCGGGCCCCCCTGGGCGGCCACGCGGCGGGGCGGGCGCCGGCGGCGCGCGACTGGGCCGAGGCCTCCGGCTTCTGAGAGGCCACGCGCCGGGGCGGGCGCGCCTCCGCGGCCTCCGCTCCTCTCGGCAGGCCCTCGGGGGCGCGCTGCTCTCCGGTGCTCGCGCACTTCGGGCCGGACGAGAGGGGGGGGGAAGGGGGAGAAGCAGGGGGGGGTCACGGAATCTGCTGCAGACAGCCGGATGCGGCCTCACCGAGAGGCCCCATCCTCGACACGTGGCCGCGTGCGGCGCCGGGAGACGCTGGGGAAATCAGCTACGTGAGCTGATTCTCAAACCCCCTTTTGCTATCCCCCCCTTTCGCCCGACCCGAGCACTGCCGGGTATAGCCAGGACCTTAGCTGCCCCGATACGCAACACGCAACACGTAGCGTATCGATACAGAGCTCAACACGCAGACTGAACACGCACGTTTTGCACATGGACGGTTTGAACACGGCAAGTGTTGCGTTTCAAAACGAGCGTATCGGAGCAGTTGAGGCCAGGACCCAAGCTAAAGGGACCCGGTCAGTAGTAGGACCCCAGAGCTTTTCAGTTGGCCAGAAGCACTAGACCAGGTCTGCCGTAGCTAATTTTTTATTTTCAATAAAAAATGAGCAATGATATAAACATAATAACTCAGAAATCCGCGCGACGTTCTCGGATCGGGGCTGGGGCTCCCTGGCGGCGCCTCCGGCGCCGCCCCTGGCGCGCCAGGGAGGGGGGTCCAGCGCGGATCCAAGAAATCTGCGCGGACCTCCGAACTTTTATGATTATGTCATTGCTCGTTCCCCTACTCCGATGCTCGCGTACTGGGTCTACAGCATTGGCGGTCCCGAAACGTGGTGGCGACAACACCCAGCGGTGAGTCTCGGGCGATTTGGTGTCACGACCCGGTTGGGGACTCGCGTGGTTTTTCGAGGATGTCCCGAACGTTGGTGGGTCCAGGAGTCACAAGACCCGGCGGTGACCCCGTGTTCCAACACCCGGCGGTGACTTTTGGGGGATTCCAAGTCACCATCTGCTATCTCACCGCCTGGCGCGGGGGCTCCCAACCAGTCGGCATGTCAACATGAGCGGCACAGAGAAGCGGGTTCGACTGCGCCGACATTCGCGCCAGAGCTGCCTGCGTCAGATGGCGCGCAAGCGCCCTCGTCTCCGGTGTCGCGCGCCGCGCTGGCGGCCCGCGTAAGGCACCGCGTATGGTTGCTGTGCCGTCTTGCGTTAGACCCGTTTCTGTTTCGTCGCTGAGAGAGCGTGTTCGGCTTCTGGGGGTCCTTGCCGAGCCCTGGAGCCGTCAAAAAACGACTCAGGATAAAAAGATGGTTCCAGGGAATGCTCAAATGCTTGTGCGGCCTCTGGGGGTCCTTGCTGTATTCTGGGGCCATCAAACAACGACTCAGGATGAAAAGCTTGTCCAAGGGAATGTGTCGAGACCTGCAGGGGTCTACGTTGGTCTGGGCTGGCAGGTGCCCAGCAGAAGTTCCCTATCCCCCGATGGCCACTGGAGCCCACAGGAGTTCTGGGGCAACTGGAGAGACCTTCGAAGCTCGACGCAGAGTGGGCCCCCATCTTGGCTGCGGCAAGGTCTCGCATCGCACGCGCCTGCTGCACAGCCCCCACCGCCGCCGCAGCTCCGCGCAGCGTGCCCCGTCGGCCCCGCGAGTCTGGCGAGCACGCCGGGTCTCGCAGAACCCGAAGAAGCTTCCGTCCTGGCTCCTCCGGCGCTGCCCTCCCCCTCCGACCAGAGCCTGCACGGCGCCCGTGCAGGCCCGGCTGACCCGGTGTGCGCCCTCTGGGTCCTAGAACTCGTGGCTGCCTGGCCGACCTCAAGAGGCCCGAGTCACAGAGAATTTTGTGCAGTCTCGAGGAGACCCCCGAGATGCAATTAGATGCATTTCCGACGCCTGCGTCGGGCACCCAGCCCTGGAGCGAAGCTCTCTGGTCGTGAAGGCCAGTAGGCTCGCGTCGTGTGGCCTGGAGGCGGCGGCGATCAGAAAGACGCACGTCGTTAATCTGCACAAAGACCGCTACGACTACTCAGCGATCGACTAGTGCCGCGCGTAACCAAATGCGCTTTAAAGTGTTGCATGTTCCCTCTCACGACCATGTCCGCACTGGTCTAGAGACAAGAACTGATCTAGCGCTTGTCGCCACAGGGCGGTGCGCCAACCACTAGCTACTTGTTCAAATGCCTGTCACCAGGCGTTTGGCATCTGCCCTGCACAGTCCGTTCGCGCGTGTTCATGGTGACGTGTGGTGCCCCCTGTCTGCGTTAAGTGGACACGCCAGGCGAGCCATCAAGCATGACTTTCAAGGGTGCATTCTGTAGTTCCTGGCGCAAGAGTGTGAATCATAGCCGATGTCTATCATGCACGCGACCTGAGCACCTCCCAGGAGGTAGCACCCACTCAGTTCCAACCTGCGGTTCCTCCTTCTCATCCTCCTCCGACTCCTCCTCCCCCTCCCCCTCCTCCTCCTCCCGTCTTCTCCCTCCTCCTCTTCCTCCTCCTCCTTCTCCTCCTCCTCCTCCTCCTCCTCCTCCTCCTCCTCCTCCTCCTCCTCCTCCTCCTCCTCCCGTCTTCCTTTTCCTCCTCCTTCACTCCCGCATCCTCCTCCTCCTCCTCCTCCTCCTCCTCCTCCTCCTCCTCCTCCTCCTCCTTCTCCTTCTCCCGTCTTCCTCCTCCTCCTCCTTTTCCTTCTTCTTCTCATGTTCCTTCTCCTTGGCTTGCGCCCAGCGCAGTGGAGACCCCACCCCCTCAGTGGGGAAGCCAGCAGTTTTCATGGCTGTCACACCTGTTCAGCCTCATCTCCCCGCCCCGCCCCGACCAAGCTTTCAAGCCTGGGCGAGGCACCGCGACGTCCACGTCGGCCCGCGTCCGAGCACGCCATTGACCTCGGCGTGGCGAGGGAGCGCTTCGGCCTCCAGCTTCCATGTCCTGCTGGAAACACCGCCGTTGCAGTAGTTAGGTAGACCACAGGCTCCACAGAGAGGAAAACAGTGCTCTCTCTCTTGCTCGCCCGGCGGCGCGCCGAGGGAGGAAGTCAGAGGGGGCAGTCCTTCTCAGGACGCTGCGGGCCTCCTCGGGAGACCCTCTGGCCTCCCGAGAGGCCTCCCCCCCCCCCCCTGTGGGCTTCGGAGAGGGCTCAAAGCGAGCCGCACGGGAGGCCGCGGAGCCCTCCCCTAGCCTTGCGAGAAGGCCCACGCCCTCTGCGATTGAGAAGGCCTAGCGGCCGATGCCGCCGACCCTGAAGGGGAGCGGCGACGACGACGGCGGCGGCGGCAGTGGCGACGACGACGACGCTGACGCCCTGGAGCCGTTCTTGGGGCCCTCTTGGGAGCCGCTTGCGCTCGATTGGGGCTTGGGCTGGGCCCGCGTCTTCTGCGATGCCGCCCGGGCGCGCCGCCGACACCGCTCCTGTGCGTCGTTGCGTCCTGCGCCTCCCCGCCTCTCCTCCTCCGCGCCTCCTCTCGGAGGCTTGGAGGTGGGCCCCCAGCACCGGCACAGGGTCTGGCCTCCCTCATGGGACGAGGATCCTGGATTTCAGCCTTGGTAGTAGTACCCATCGGTCGTTGAAAGTAGGTATTTGTGGATTCCCAGGTTCCAATCTAGTTTGAGCGCCTTCCTACTTCAATGATCGAGTGGCTTCACCTTTTCCGTCCTCCTTAGGGGGCGGACGGAACCCAATCTATCTTCAACGCCTTCCTACTCCATGTTTCTACCTACTTCTTCCGACCGCTGGGCACTTCGGCCACCCGGGAAACCCGAAGATTAACACCACCACCGAGATCGGGATCATCTTTCCTCGGTGGAGGCACACCGCCGATGTCGATGTTGGTGTCAACCTCTGGGCCTCCGACCCTCGCCATCTTGCCCTCCGAGCGGCGGTGCGCGAGGAGTGCCGCAGGCAGCCTCCGCCTCAACAGACCCCAAGCCTCGCCTCCGACAGCCGAGCCGCCAGGCGGGCTGGAGCAGACACATCCCGGGGGCAACCCTTAGGGGGACAGGGTCCGGGGGGGAGCGCACTGACCCCCCGATCGCCCATGCATCGCCGAGAGGGGCCCGATGCCCCACCCCGCCCAGGAACCTGCGCTCTCGCTATCTGTCCAGCGATCGCAAACATGGATCAAGGGGGCGTGGATTAGCGACGGGTCCCGCTTCCATGGGAAATCGTTGATTTCCGTCGCCGAAGAGGCGGCACCGGCCGCATTTTGGGGAGGGCACCTCCCCCGATCCATGGATTTGGCGACCGCGCGCCAAATCGGATCGCTAATACATGTTGGCGCGCCCCCGAAACATGACAGGAAGGTCTCCATCTGGATAGAGGGGCGCGAGGGCGCTGTCAGATGGCACGTCTCCCCTCCCGACCTGGGCCCGGGCATACAGACTGCAGGCCGGAGCAGTCTTGAGAACGCATGGCTCGCAGATCTTCCGCCCCACGGCAGGAGATGAACACCCCAAGGACCACATCGGATGAGCGACGCAGAGAAGGGGGCTGTCTTCACCGACATTCGCGCGTAAGCTACCCGCGCAAGGTCCCGCGTAAGCGCCCTCGTCCCCAGTGTAGCGTGCCGCCCCCGTTGCCCGCGTCAGCCGCCGCGGAAGGTCGCCATGTCATTTCGCGTGGAGCACCTCGAGCGCTACATTGCCGCCGCGCTCTCGTCGAGCCAGGTCCATGTGAGGGCCCCCAGAGTCCGAGGATTGCCGAGAAACGCCCGTCGACCTTTGTTCGCGATCGGAGGAGGAGGTTGGGGTTGACCGTCGCGCTTGTACAAGGATGGGCGGGACAGGAGGAGGAGGAGGAGGAGGAGGAGGAGGGAAGAGGAGGAAGAATAAGGAGGAGGGAGGGGGACGAGGAGAAGGAGGAGAAAGAGGGAGGAGGAAGAGGAGGAGGAGGAAGAAGAGAAGGAATAGGAGGAGGAGGAGGAGGAGGAGGTGGGAGGAGGAGGAGGAGGAAGGAGGTGTAGGAAGGAGGAGGAGGAGGAGGAGGAGGCGGACGAGGGAGGAGGAGGAGGAGGAGGAGGAGGAGGAGGAAGAGA